AGGGTGGCGGCGGATTTTCTCTCGAATGATTTCCACGATCTCTTTTATCGTTGCTCTCTTCAGTCTTCCACTTTTGGGCTTGTCCTCCATAGTTCCTGTCGCCTTGTACCTGCTGACGTTTTTGTACATGGTTCCTAAGGGAATCTGGAGCTGTTCGAAGATGGTCTTTGCCGTGCACCCGGCCAGATGGAGGAGCAGTATGGAGGCTCGTTGGTCTTTACTTGTCACCATTTTGTAAAATGGCATACAAGAACGGCCAATTCATGGAATGTATAGAAGAGGATTTACAGTAAATATTGGCACAGATCCTGTTGAGATCGAGGGCCTCATTTTTTTATAGAGAACCCTGAAATGGGCCTATGTCAGAACTTTTTCCGCACCCTGTACAATGACTTGCGGTAGCCAGCTGAATACATTCATTCATACATTTTCCCTTTTCAGACGAGTGTGTAACCAACTGACCGACTCCGAAAAGATGGAAGAATTAGACAGATATCGATCCGAGATTCGAACCCGCGTTATGTATGTGAGATAGTGCACCACTTGCCACTACACTACCTCCGCCCTACCTTGAAGATATACCTCTGAATTTGTATCCTTCAACTTTAAAGACAGCAATCCCTTCTTTTTTCGTGGTTCAAAATTTTTGGTGGTTGTAACGGTAAACACATGGAGAGCAATTGCAAACTGCTTCACTTCCACTGCAAACCAACACATGAATCCATTATTTATCAAAGTAATCGTGATAGACATTTACAGTATATTTTTTTGTAGGGAAAATGATCAATAAATAGCGAAATAACGAACGCTCAATCCACATTATTTCGCTCTTTCCTGGATACTAGCACTCGAAATTGTTGAAAGAGCGATGATTACAGAATAGCACTGATGAACCTTAAACAGACGAAAAGAAATTCTTCCTGTTCAGCGAAAAACTTATAGAATCATCCAATAATATGTAGGTTCTAAAAAAAATGCTTACACAAGCTTGAAAATGTTAGCCCACAACACAATGGTAAATTTAAAAGAAGAATATAGTCAAAGCGATTGAAAACGATATCAACGTACGAGGGTACCCTGACAAATCGATGCTCCACAAAACATCGTATTATACACAGAAAGAACAAAAGAAAAGATGAAGGCAAGGAAAATGATGGCTACGATCTACCCACAAGCAGGGTGGTACTACCTTGGTTCGCAACCCATCCAATTAATATGAAAACTAACCCAAGTGGTGGATGTGGAAACTGAAAAGTAATGAAGCTCTCCAAAACTGAACAAAAGGTCAACAAACCGAAAAATACATCGAAATCTAAATATAAGGTTTTCACAGAGTAACTGTCCTTTAGGAATATTTCTTCCATCCTAAATCGGTGATACTGTCTATACTGAATTTATAACACTGCAACGATAAATTGCAAGCAAAAGAAAAGAATAAAGTTGAGAAGAAAGTTGCAGAAAGTTTCAGAATGGAAATTTAAAGACTTTTTCTTATAATTATAAAAGTCCATCCCGCAAAGATCCAAACTATTTTCTCCTCAAAATTTCGCACCTATCACTACTTTCACCCATCCAATAATGAATTTCTCAAAATAACTGGTAACAATAATTTTTCGGACGATATTCTTTTGCCAAACATTCTATCTTCCTGAATGGTGAGTTCTTCTGCTTGAAGACCTTTCCCTTAAATAATGGTAGTATGTGGAGAGCAACATGAATCCTGAAGTTTCCATGTAAATGCAATGCTTCGTGTCGCGATGTGAAAAACGTTAATTATATGGCAAAACAGACTCACGAACCAAAGTAGTTACCCCCAGGCGGACATACATAAATAGGAAGAAAAGGAAGATGGGAAGAATCTCTGGAATTGCTGCAGCAGCAGAATGATTCGGCTCCGGCCGGTAGCAAACTGCGAAACGAAAAATACTAGAAAACAGTCTCGAGTAAAGAGTTAAGTACAAATTCATCACAGGAAAGAAATGAAGAACAATGCCCAAGTACGCGCTTGAACGCAAGAAAATACAATAATTTTGCATAATTAAGAGGACTAATAATAGTTGCAACACTTATTCATCTTCCGCGCTTGAGTGTAGAACAACTTCGATTGGTCAGAGAGATTTTCACTTTTCTTGACGAGATCGTCCAGCTTTTCTCCTAAAATAACCTGATTAAACGAGCATTCAGCGTAACACAAGAGGAGAGCAGCAGAAATCAAAAAGCAAAACAAAAAAACAAGGTGACGCTGGTAAATCTTGTTTACTTATAATTGCATACGTAAACACGCAGGCATTCAGCGCCCACAAACAAATAGGTAATGAATAAAAGAGGTCTAATAAAATGCTCAGCATATTCCCCCCCCCCCCCCCCCNTCCCTAGCCTACTACTAGTTACTCAGTTTTTTGAATAGTTGTCACTGCAGAGCTCGAGGGAAGCTGTGCATTCATCTACTACTAATGGGATACGGTAACTAGCAGATATTTTCGTCGCGCCATCGTAACTGCTAACCTTGCTAACCGTAACCGTATCCTTGCTTATCTAACGTTTTCGCCCGACAGCAGACAGCCTCAGTACGATCTCGGAACTTCTCATCTACAGCTGCGCCTAATCAAGTATTTATGATCTCAACCACTTTTTCTGGAAAATTTTGGCTCTTTCTCACCTTCCCCTTTGAATATTTTCGCAAAACTCACTATTCCCCTCCAGCCCTCTTCCTTTTCTACTGAATGGCGATAGAATTTCATCAATTTCCAATGAGTGCACACGTCGCAACAATCAAATACGGACAAAAGATCGATTGACAGAAAAAGTATTATCATGCAAACAAAAGCCCCTTTTCAACACTGAAACGGGCCGTAAAATGGAGAGTAAATAACCGCTTGGTTAATCAATCCCTGCCGTCGGTTTTGATCGTCTCATGGTATATATGCGCTAAAGGTCTAATATCAGTGATATTGAAGGCTTTCCTATTTAATACGAAAGAGGGGAAAAGGAGAAAATGAAGCTTTTTATGATGTGCTTCGCCAGCACACCCACACATCATCACCAGCACACTTCTCAGCAAGCCTCATTAGACATGCCTACATTCGACTCTAAGTGCATTCAGTTTCCGTTTTCGCGTCCCACTATTATACATCTCGCCACCCACTCAGGCTGCCTGAATGAACATGCATCAGGTCTATAAATAGGGGTTCTTACAATTGCAAGAAGATCTGTGCATCATTAGGGATGCAAGCAAAAGTGTACCTGTGCGAAAAATAGGATGATGTCAGACAAATTCGAAGAGAAGATTAGTAATGGTTTGCAAGGGCATGCACAAGATTCGGTATTAACTGTCATTCAACCATGTTCAGAATGCGTGCTGATTGACAGAAATCTGTGGATGCTTTGAATAGGACCCCTGTAAACGGTATCAAACGACAAATATAATGCACTTGCTCTAAAGTAATCGCAGCAGTATGGACCGGTAAATTTTTGAAAAGAAACAGTAACCGCAGAAAACTCGAGATTGCTCAAGCGGAAATTATAAAGGGTTATAAAAGAATGAGTGCAACCAAGTACTAAAACAGCTCATGGCTGAAAGTTCTCACCTCGCTCAAGCACTGATTGTATAGTGTTGTGCATGACGATTTTTGTCTCTTCTACTTCTTCCTGAAAATATAGCACTTCATCACGACACCGTCTTCCTAACCATACCTTACCCTCTCCAATAAGCATTTACCCTTCACTACTATTAATTTAATGCCTAACTAGAGAAAAGGTCAACGCTACCCATCTGAACTTCTGCGCAACAAAACGATGTTTCCCCTCATATTTACCCATGACATTCTTTAGAATTCTATGCTCATTGTTAATACCGCGGACATTTTCCCAACAATTCAAGGATTAGAAAATGTGAAATATATCAACACCAACAAGCTGAAAGTGACACTTTGAAGGCAAGCGACTAGTACATTACAAAAACACTTCATAAACACTGAGTGCACAGCTTTACCTGGACCCGGGTCATGGGATCAGCTTCTCGTGGATTCTGCCATTTTGCTAGCAACTCCGGCAGACCCGTATATAAGCAATCCTTTTCATTCGTGATCTGCGCCTGAAATTCACGATTGAACAAATAGAACGAACGTAGAACATAGCACGAGGAAGATCAAAGGATGGGGGAACTAACCCATTGAATCGCATGAACCTTCGCAGAAAAATCGTCCAAAACCCTTGTCATCATGCTCATAGCCACACGAGCCTTAAAAACACTTAATGGAACTTATCACCTCAGCAGGTAATCTTTCCCAGAAAATACAGAAAAAAGACACACGAAATAATAAAATTTCCATAGAAAAATGATAACTATCCCGCAGACTCAAACCGAGTAAAACCAGAAGCCTCAGTTTGCAGAATACCATTATATGCTCTGATCAAAATATATACAAATAATTTTACACAAATAAAAAATAATTGACATGTTTGTGAGAGAAAGAATATAAAAAAGACAGCAAGTTTTTCTTACAAATGCCCGATTTCTTTAGCTGCGTATCCATTAGAATAGTCAGTGGCTTCAATAATCACTCGGTCATACTGACAACTCCTTTGAAATTGGCTCAAAGAGGGGAAAACCAAGCTTTGCCGGTAGTTTTCTGTTTCTTTTTTTTAGTTTTGATAAGAAATTATCCATAATCGGAAGTGAATGAGTCGATCAATAGCACAAAAAGTCATAAAGAGATAAGGTGCAATAATGATAATCAAATTATCAATTGTAAATTGAAGTAATTTAGCATGGAATACCTGGTACTCTCCGTCAGTTACTGACACTGCTGCCAAGCCATCTGAACGCACATAGCAATGGCAAAAATACTCATTTTCTTTCACAGTACTACGAGCTCCAAGTCCTGATCGTTCTACAAGCAGCTTGCCAGTGAACTGCATGAACTCCTGAAATCTCTACTGCTTAGAAGTACTACCCTATAATACCTGGGAAGATAACTACAAGATAAAAAAGTAGTAAAATTGAATTTTTGTGAGCCATGAACTGACTGCCTTCTGTGGGATGCCATGCACTGACCTGAACGGATCCTCTTTGAAAAAAGCTGAATGAAGAAAGATCGAAAGCCGATTTTAAAGACCGCACTGTTCCGTCATTGGCTTTGAAATATATCAATATCGAGTACAACTTCATCTGAAAATCGTGAAACTTTTGTAAAAATTACTACGATTGTAAACGGATCCTTCATAGAAAATAGCAAAAGGACGCATTGACCATGAAGAAATCAAACCGATACGTCAAAAGAAAGAAATACTTTTATTCTAGGAAAAATACTTATAAACAATCTCAATCACAACATTATAACAGCGAATAAGGACCACAACAGCGCAAAGAGGCAATCTCTAACAAAACCGCAAGGGAAAAAGGGCACGCTTATATTTCCACCAGGAGTCATTATACAAGGCACCCGTACCATTTGGTACAGCAAAATCAGTAATAACGACAGAGGTACAAATTACGAAATAATCTACTTAAAAGAAACAAATCGAGCAGTGATAAGAGCATGGTTTGTAAGCGTTGTGGACTTGCACTTTCAACTTCGTGAAGATGGTCTAACGTCGCGTAGTGGCGAGAGGGGAGCATGGTTCTCAATGATTGTACTGCATAAGGTTTTGTTAAACCCGTGTAAGATAGCCATTTCTTCGCAATTTCATTAATTTTCAATTTTTAGCGCTTCTTTTACAGCCAGAATAATGCAGCATATAATGCAAACCAAACTAGAATAGCGTTGGTTGAGGCTGAGCCTAGACTTTGGAATCAACCAGTCTTCTTCTAATCAAAAACAGATGTGAAAAAAAANNAAAAAAAAAACCTGAAAATCTATCCAATGGCGGCTCTTAAAGCTGAAGGCAGTGAGACAAAGCGCAAATGTTACTGACAACTTAACCCATGTAGTAATTAACCAGCTGCGTTGACATTTAAAAGAGCCCGAGTGATTCGTAACGCAAACATTGCTCACGAACTCGTTTGAAACACATGCACTACTTTGGGTTCCCACCGAGGAAGGGGGTGTGACTTTGTCACAGGAGGAGTGAAAAAGTTCAGGTCTCTATACTGATTAGCTAGCTTCGCATCTGACAACGCTTACAAACCAACCAAAATCGATAAAAGAAAAAAGTCAATCATCACTATTTTTGAAAGGACACTGTTTAAAGACCTATAATACATATGAAGGCTTATCACATGCAATTTCCAATAACGCGTCACTAAAAACCCTACGTTAACAAAGGTCCAATGGCAGCATTCCATTTTCGCTCAAATTCTCTCTCACTGAATCTGTTCACTGATGCTCGTGCACCTTCTCGAACAGCGTCGCGCTCAATTCGTGACATTTCCACAGTGTGCAGTATGAGTCTAACATATTCTGAAATGCCGAAATGCGTTCGTCTCTGAGCTCCTCATTCAGAAAGATGATGAAAAACGAGTGCGACATGGTAAATTTCAGCGGACACTCTCGTACTTACCCTCTTTCGTTGCTGCCAAGAAACCTATTGGCTGTGTTTCTTTTTCACCATCTATAGATGTAACGATGTCCATTTGCGGTCCGCCTACAAAACAACACGATTGGGAAGATAGATGAAACGAGAGTCTCGCTACCAAAAGACGCTCATCAAAAAGGATAATGTAGTGTGAATTCATCAGTTGAAAAGGAATCAAGGAAAGAATACACTTGTCATACCCCAAGATAATGTAAATGCAGCAATTCAAAAAGCAAAGGTAAAGGAGAGATTGATCACGTTGTGTACGAAAAAGGGGAGAGAGCAAAGTGGAAGATTACTCCAACTGGTTAAATAACATCAAAAACACTTAGCGGAAAGCGTACATACTAAATAAACAAGAAGCGAAAAGACTAACCAGAGTCATGTGCCAACATGATTGTCCCAGCAGCCATTCCCTCAACAACAGAAATACCGAAATGTTCATTCCACATTGTATGGATTGAAATCAAGGACTCCTGAAAGTACCGTTTGAAATACACTTCACATTACTTTTCCACACGAATAAACACTTAAACTACAAAGTAAATATGTGTTCACATGAAAAAGACGAATAAATTCTAGAATGGAGAAAACAAAAAAGAGCCAAGTTTCTGGCGTACGATAAGTAGGAAGTATAAAATAAAGAAAAGTTACCGAAAGTAGGTCAAGCAGCTCCTCATAAGGCACATTGAGCTTCCAGTTTACATTCGAGTCAAGCCCCAACTTCGCACACAATACCTTGAAAAGTAGTCGCCCTCAAAATCGTTTGAGAGAACACACAACATGAAAAGGGAGGTGATGAACATACTTTTAGGGAATCCACACGTGCATAGTCCTCCCGGTGTCGACATCCTCCCGCGATGGTCAATTCGACCTGCAAAATGAGCCCTCAACAAATTAACAAATAAAAATGAGAAAACGTACAAAATAGTAATCAGAACGAGGTTGAATAAAGTGAACACAAAAAAGTGAAGCAAAACTATCAATATAGAGCTGAATTAAGACTGAGATGCGCCAAAGCCAAGCGTTCCTGTTCGAAAACAGGATCCTACGCATAAGATCGTTCCAAGATACCGCGCAAGGACATCAATCGTCGAAAGAGAAGGCGCAAATCGAGCTTATGAACGGTATTTTCTCAGCCATACCAGAGGATAAGATATTACATTTGTTGCATCTTCGTTATCTCAGACACACATCGAAAGCTGCACGCCTGATGAACACCGATTCCAGCAAATGAGGGAAAGCACGCGAAGTCACGAACTCTGTAGATGATCAATGATCGGGAATGCCGCAGTGTTTGTCAGGGTATCGAAGTTCAAGAACCTATAGATCATGCGACAGCGATGACCGTAACACAAGAGTG